GGGGGGGTGGGGTGGGGGTACCTGTACACCCAAATATTTACACCTTTGTTAGCACCCCCTATGTGTCAAGAATTTAGCCATTGAATGAAAAATATGTTATCAAGATTAATGTACCGAAATTTGTCAACTAACAAGAATGTAAACCATTATATACATGTAACATGATCCCCTCCCCCCTTTGTTCAAAAAGCTTCGTTTTTTATGCTTGCTTAAAAATGAAAATGCCACATTCATCAAAGCCCAACCCAACGTTGTACCCATTATCCTTGTTCAAGTGATGATAATGATAAAAGATTAGAAATTCGATATTTTTAAGTTTTAATACAAATAAATGCCTATTTAACAATCACTCTTTCAAAACCCTTTTTTTCCCATACTCATTTTCAGTCACACATTTTCCTAATAAAATATTTTTCAAGTAAATTTAAAATCTTTTCCTACTTTTTAATTATGCATTTTTCAAAAATTTATTATTCAAAAACTTATTTTTTTCAGAAAAACTCCGTCAAGCAGGGGCTAATCTTCATTAAAGATGATGGTGCCTCAACTCATTAACCTCAGGTTCAAGTCACTTTTTGTACTTAGCCAAGTCTTAGTAATAACTGTTGACTGGGTTTTGTACAATAAATTTATCGACGAGATTACAACTACGTCAAGAAATTTTAGTTAAATAGGTAATACATGAAATTTAGATATATTCAGGATTTCGTAGTTGCATTGTCCCATACATTAATGTATCAAGCGTGACTGGTTGGTTACAATAGAGAAAGAAAATATCTTGAATTTCTTACAAAGGGGTAGCAATGGTCAGTTGAATTCTCAATGCAGATTCTTGAAATTGAAACCGGCGAAAGCAAACAGCCAAAATCTTGATTTAAGAGGGCGTCAGTGTAGGATAAGACGGCAAAACTGTAAGATTGACTCTTCTTCCCAAACAGTAATCCATTATCCTCTTCTCCTCTCATCCACTCCTCATACTTGTTTCTGCTTAGTGCAGTGCTGCACTCACTAATGGAATCTCCACAAAGGGCTGCTTAAGCAGAATCAAAGAATAACACAAAGACAATGGCTATTTCCCTCTTCATTCTCTGTATCCCAAGTTTCACTGTGGAAAACAAATTTAGCATTAAAGAAATAATTCCCCTATTCCTATTGCATGCTGCTTCAAAGAGCAAAAAATTGTACCTTCTCTTTCTGGTAGGTAAAGAACTTAAAGCTTTTAAAGACCGAACAGCAAATAGAAAGAGTGTAAACTGACCACAACATGCAGATTCAACTATCTCAAGGATAAAGAATGATTCTATCTTTTGGTTCATATAGGGAGGGGTAGTTTGCACAGAAAGTCATTAAAAGCTTTGTGCTTATAGGGAATAGACTACAAGATTATCATATTTGTTTAACAATTAATAGCATCACTCCACATAACAAACTACACTGAGTTAGTACCTATCTAATCCCCGTTGTTGAAAGACATTATTTTTTTTTTTTAGCAGGAAAGTGTTTCCAACTGTGACCAAACAACCATTTGTGTCCCACGTTAAGTAAATTAGAATATAAGATATCTTATTTTGTTTCCAACTATTTTGAATTCAGAGCTAATGCCATATCTTAAATGTTGCTGCAATTCTAACAACGGCAAGTAGTTTTGTTAGAAGATATAAATGAAGTTCGGCAATCATAAATGAGCTTAGAAATACATAAACAATTTAGTACGGTTGAAAGTGAAGTAGTATTGATGCAGGATGCTATGGAGAATTATAGAAGAGAAGGGGAAAGGGAAGAGAATAAGAGGAGGAGGGGGAAAAGAGAGGAGGAAGGAGAGAATAGAGAGAAATTGGGGGAAGATTAGCAATTTTTATTCATTAAAGAATTGTCCTTATTACACCGCAAAGTACCCTTTATAACCGAGAAGTGAATTAAATTGATGTTCTGTTTTGAGGGTTCTTTCAACTAAAAACGGACTGATATATAGATCCAAAGTGATACAAGAAAATTAAATCAATCCATTTGATGTCTGTGAATAACATAAATGCAAATTCCAAGCCTCTTGTTGTATGAAATTTGAGTTCAGCTCTCTAAAGTTCTACAAAACTGTGTAATTTTCCAAATATATTATACTGACTGGCATTCCTGTCAATATCGTATCAGACAGAAAGAGGACCAAGTTTATGAGTCATTTTTGAAGTATGGTTTTGTATTGTTAAACAAGTGGCACACCGAAGGGGTGATAGAAGTTTGGAAAAGTTTTCAAGGAGTCATGCAGGCAAAAATATTCATCAATTAGATTTGCTTATAGTTAGTCTAATAATCAAACCACTAATTGCAGTCCATTTGGGGCCATCTATGACACTATTCCTTTGATTTATTCTGACTAGCAGTAACTAATCACTTAGTTGAAGAGCACAGCAGATTAAGATGGATACACAGATCCAGGAGGAAATTACCGAACAAAATGAGAGGTATCACAAGCAATGGTTGGTTGATAGGCTAATTAGAAGCCTCAATAAAATCACAGAGCATTCAAATCATATGCTCAAAACTATTGACTTTAGAGGAACAAATGTCTTTCCTCAATCTCCATATTCTGTCACAAGTAATACTGAAAGTCTGCAACAGATATTGCCCTAACACCATCAAATAATGCTATGTAACACCAGTGGCATTACAACACCATTTGTGTTGCAACTTTGATAAAAACTAGTAATATTACTTATATCTTAAACGCTAATTAACATCTTTACTGAATCTGCCTCAGTTATGATCTAGCACATACAATGAAGTCAAATCTAATATCTTTACAGAAAAATTACTCATTTTGTGCAATTTTACTCCAGGTAATTACCATATAGGCAAGTCAAGACATCAGAGGGAGAGAAAGAGAAGGCACCTAGATTCAAACTCCTTGATCTCAGCTAGTTCTTTCCCAAAGTTATCTTTCCATTGAACATTTTTCTTTTCGATCTCGTTGAAAGCATCATGCCCAGAAGTGGGTTTTTTAATGCAACTCTTAAGTACATTCTCAGCATCAAGACTCCCATTTAAACTCTCATTTTTCACCTCATTGGTGTCGCCAGTTAACTTATTATCTGTGGCATCTGAAACAATAACAGCTGTTGAAGGTACGTGTGGGGCATTTTCCAATTTCAGTGGCCCAGACGTGTAAAGATGAGCAGCAGAGGGTTTGCAGAAGCAAATGAATGGACAGTGGATCTTACAAAACAAAATCCTCATGAAAATGGTTTCTTTCGTCAAAAATTCATTGTCACTATGAGTAATCCGCATCAAGCACAGCACCACCAGAAACCAAAATCTATGACTTGAAAAGTCTAAAATAGGAGAATTTCAAGAAAGATTATGCTGGGTGATGAATCTTCCCCAAAGCTCATAGTCCTGCAGGATGTTCTAAATACCATTTTCGTAGTACCCTTTGCCACAAATAATGATGCTCGAACTCCCCAATCTTGCAGTTAAGATCAAATTTGAGATCTTTAACCTAAAATTTTAAAAAGCCGAAACTTTAAATGTCAAAGAAATCTTGAATATTTTCACTGAAAGACAAGACAAAGTTGCAAGTAATGTGCTATATCGAGAGAGAGAGAGAGAGTTTTTAAGAACAGAAAAAATTAATATATTCACCTGGATGGTGATGATGGAATAATGGAAGGCAGGAAGAATTCAGAGAATGAATAAAAAAATCCAGATTAAAAACAAAGAACAAAAACAAACAGGATGCTTAGCTGGATAGTCCAGCTACTCATACATGAAGATATCAGAAAGGCATACTCAAACTCCCAACATTCATCCATAATCTGTTTATGTTTATGTTATTTTACTCAAAACCGTTACGTTTCCTCGCGTACAAATTTATCAGTATCCTTGTATTAAGAGTTAACCTTTTCAAAACAAAGGAACTTATGGGAAAGCGATAATCAAAAGGTTGTTTGTGTAGTAGTGAAGTCACTACAATTGAAACAATAATATGAGTTTGACTTTCACATAAATAATATTAAGAATAATTTAATATATAATACAAGTTTAACAATTACACTTGATTATACTTTCGATTATATTAAACCACGTACAATCCAAGAAAACATAGAGTAGACAAAATTCATGTTATCTTGTGTATTAATTTTAAGTGTTGTATGTGTGGATAATAGTTTGTATTGTTATTCTTCATTTATTATTATCGATAGATAAATAAAAAGATTGTCCTTCTTCTTAAAAGGGCAAGGGCAAGGTCAATGATAAGATATGATATTTGATGATAGGACTTAGTATCCTATTTCTTAATCATTACCCGTTAGACATTCAATCCAAGGGTTCGGAATTTGTCTCACCTCACAATACATTTGTTGTGTTTTAATCAATCACATTGCAACAAGTTATTAGGGAATCTAATTAATTAAGATGTTTAGAAGCCAAAAATAAACAATATGGTTTCTACTAAAGAAATACCACCCATATTTAATAATAATATCTACCCAAAAAGAAATATAATTTACTTATTTTTAATTTTCATTTTCATTCGTCGGATTGAAATTAACCTAAAATTGATTACTTGTGGAGCGTGGCACCTGCTAAGAGTGGGGCATCCCCGATTAGAATTATGAACCATATGACATGATTGTGGAAGCCAATAACCAAAAAAAGGTGTTTTGGGGTGATGGAAATTGAGACCCCACAACAAAAGTAAAAATTTGTGAGTTAAAATCTTCAAGTTTGAAATAGCATTAGATTTCTCCAAAGTGGGGACCAAATTGAAACAATTTTAAGCTTTAGTGAAGAGATTGGAATAATAAAAATTGAGAGTGACCTCTTGTGTTTTACACTCATTATAATTGAGAGACTTGCTTGGGCAATAGCATGACCATATGTAGTAATTGTATAAGTTTGTGGGGACTATCCTGTCCTTGTTTTCTTTGACATGACTACAGAAATTTAGTTCTCATTTGGTGCAGTTAAATAAAAGAAATTAAGTAAATTTTGATAAAAATTAATGAAATGTGTGGTTGAAAAGTTATCGGTCCAATGAAATGTGTAGATAAAATTAATTCTTAATTTTGACTAGAAATTTTTATTAGATTTGGCTTAATGTTATTAAGGAGAAAACACCATGCTGTTAAATCGAACACAACCATAGAGCTAAGCAAAATATACCACAAACATGATTAGTCCAACTTAAACAAGCAACCTTAATGTAAGTGTGAAATTGCTAGAGAAGTAAGCAAGAAGCATAAGTTACGCTATGTAAATGAAGCAAAGTCTATTGTTCAATAAGATTTGATCTCCATTATCTGGTCCTGATAACTGCCTCAACTCTTGAGTGATTGAAGCAAAGGAAGATGATGCCAAGTCTGGTTGGATTCACTAGCCAATTGTCCTTGCACCCCAACATCAGGTTAAGAATGACAATCAGGCTCACCGGCTCGAACCGCCCGTAGCTCGACCCGAAAGAAGGTCGAGCTCCAATTTGGGTTGTTGGGCCAAGCCCGAGCCAGCCCGTTTGGATTGTGGGCCTTTATATTTAAAAAAAATAAAATTGAAGGTAGCAGCTTACTGCCTTATTTCAATAGCAGGTTGCTGCCTTATTTCAGCAGCAACAGGCAGCAGCGTTGCAACCTTATTTAAGGCAGGAGGCTTGCTGTCTATATATTGAAAAAAAAAAGAAAAAAAGGCGAGCCTACCCTGCTTGGTGCCACACAATTTATATAACGTGATTTTATACCGCAAGCGCACGGTGTCAAGTTTTGTAGTATATTAAAGAATTGAAAAGTGTCGAACCCACAGGGATTGATATTCGACTTCCACTGAGTACTATAATTGTGTCCGCGTTTATTTTATCTAGACAATCGAGCGTTAAATTTAATGTCTGAATACTAAACTAACGTCAATGAATTAAATAGTGCAATAAAAGTGAGGCAATTTCTAAAGACTAAATCAAACTTACTTAATGTCTAGGGAATGATTTCACCCGTATTCTCGACATAATTCTCAATCCCTATAGATATTTCCATCAACTATTTCCCGAATTCATAGGCAAGAATCCTAAATCAATTCTATTTCCTCCTCTCGAGCGTCAAATAGAACCTATCTCTATAATTCAACCCCAATATCT